TGCTTCCACTTTTGCAGGAGGTTTAGCTGACAATGGCACTGATCTCGTCTTGGGCTCTTCCTTGGTGGCCCCTTCGAGGGAGCTGACCTACCTCACGGGCACCCTGGCAGTGGGGAGGGCACGTGCCGGATGGCTGCAGGCCGCTGCACACCTAGAGCCTTCTGGGCTGCCTGGCAGCTGCCACTCCTCCCACCACTCGAGCTGCTGAGACCCACAGCAGGGGCAGTGGGAGAACTGGATGGAACCAGATTGGGAGCCCCCCTCCTCCTACCCCTTCCCCCCTTTACCCCCACTTGCATCCCAGGTTGGTAGACTGTGTCTTTTAAGGAATTGGTCCAATCCTGTCTTTTAAGGAATTGGTCCAATCCATGTAATTTATCAACTATGCGGGCATTCATTTCTTCCTAATATTCTTTTATGGTCCTTTTAATGTCCACGAGGGTTAGCAGTGATGGCCTTTCTTTTTTCTGTGTTAACTTCTGTGTTAACTTTTCGCTGTGGGCTGATCAATTTTATTGATCTTTTCAGAGAATCATCTATTGGTTTGTTGATATTTTCTATTGATTTCTTGATTGCTATTTCAGTATTATTATTCCCATTGTTATTTTCCTCTGCTTGATTTACATTAATCTTGCAATTCTTTCTCTAGTTTCCTAAGTTGGAAGGTTAGAGCACTGAGTTTAGAATGTTGCTTTCTAGGAAATGCATTCAATTCTTTAAGTTTCCCTTAAAGCCCTGCCTTTGCTGCGTTCCAGAGATTTTGCTAAAATATATTATTTTTCATCAACGCCACAATATTGCATTTTGTGCGAGAATTTTCTTTGTCATCTGTGTAGCTGAGAAGTTTGTGGCTTAAATTTTCACTTTTTTAGACAGGCTGGTCTCGAATTCCTGACCTCAGGGGATCGCCTGCCTCAGCCTCCCAAAGTGCTAGGATTACAGGCGTAAGCCACTGTGGCTGGCCCGATTGTTGATATTATTATTTTGAGTAACCCTCAGGTAGGTATAAGAAAAGTAAATCATTTTTTGTGTCTTCATTTAATGTGATGTGAATTTCTAACCCATATCACTTCTCTTTTTTCTAATAAACTTCTTTTAATATTATTGGCAAGGCAGGTACATCAGTCCTGCCTTTCTCCATTCCATACATTTTCTCCATTTCATCCCTGACATTTCTCCCCTTCTCCAAATGGGTAGATTCAATTGTTTATCTTGATTTCAGCTGATTTTCTCTCTCTCTCTCTATTTTTTTTTTTTTTTTTTTTTTGAGACAGAGTCTCACTCTTTTGTCCAGACTGGAGTGCAGTGGCACAATCTTGGCTCACTGCAACCTCCACCTCCTGTGTTGAAGCAATTTTCCTGCCTCAACCTCCTGAGCAGCTGGGACTATAGGTGTGCACCCTACACCCAGCTAATTTTTGTATTTTTAGTAGAGATGGGCTTTCACCATGTTGACCAGGCTGATCTTGAACTTCTGACCTCAAGTGATCCTCTCCAGTTTTTTTCCTTTTGCACTTAGATGATCTAATGTATGTCTCTCTTTTTTTTTTTTTGAGACAGAGTCTCGCTCTGTTGCCCAGGCTGGAGTGCAGTGGTGCGATCTCAGCTCATCCCAACCACTGCCTCCCAGGTTCAAGTGATTCTCCTGCCTCAGCCTCCTGAGTAGCTGGGACTACAAGCATGTGCCACCATTCCTGGCTAATTTTTGTATTTTTAGTAAAGACGGGGTTTCACTATGTTGGCCAGGCTGGTCTCGAACTCCCGACCTTGTGATCCAAAGTGCTGGGATTACAGATGTGAGCCACTGCACCTGACCTTAATGTATATCTTAATTATAATCTGTTGTCCCAGGTAGTTGCATAGTTGCAGGCTGTTTGTATATTTTTCACCATTTTTCATTAGCATTTCTTTTTTTCTTTTTTGAGATGGAGTTTTGCTCTTGTTGCCAGACTGGAGTACAGTGGTGCGATCTCAGTTCACTGCAACCTCCACCTCCCAGGTTCAAGTGATTCTCCTGCCTCAGCCTCCTGAGTAGCTGGGATTATGGGCAACCACCACCACGCCTGACTAATTTTTTGTATTTTTAGTAGAGACGGGGTTTCACCATGTTGGACAGGCAGGTCTCGAACTCCTGACCTCAGGTGATCCACCTGCTGTGGCCTCCCAAAGTGCTGGAATTACAGGCGTGAGCCACCATGCCCAGCCCTTTCATCAGCATTTCTTTCTCACTTTTTTTGTTTTGTTTTGTTTTTGGTGACAGAGTCTCACTCTGTCATCAGGCGCCAGGCTGGAGTGCAGTGGCTCAACCTCCGCCTCCCGGGTTCAAGCAATTCTCCTGCCTCAGCCTCCCGAGTAGCTGGGACTACAGACGTGTGCCACCACACCCAGCTAATTTTTGTATTTTTAGTAGAGATGAGGTTTCACCATGTTGGCCAGGATAGTCTTGATCTCTTGACCTCGTGATCCACCTGCCTCAGCCTCCCAAAGTGCTGGGATTACAGGTGTGAGCCAGCACACACAGCCCATCAGTGTTTCTTATGTTTGACCCTAACTGGATACCATCATAGATGAAATAGAAAAGAGAACCTTGTTTCACACCTTCAGATCGTCCCTGGAATGATTGGAAAATACAAAGGCAATAATTTATGAATAACATCTGATCTGCTTTCTCTAGAATTAGTGACTAGGGTTCCACACTGGGATCTCAGGCTGCTGTCTTCAAGATTGGCATGGAGGTGGGGAGTGACTGGGCCAAGGACAAATAAAAACTCCACAAGGCTTTCCTACCATTTTTCACTTTTATTTATCTCTTTGTTACTAGTATGGGGTGCTGCATATTAGAGTTTTAAAATCCTTTATCTGTTTTTGTAAAGCTGTCACTTTGTTGGTGAGAAGGTTTTTAGCATTTTTAGACATTTGTGACTTCTATTAGATTTGGTAATGTAATTTTATTCATTTATTTATTTATTTTGAGACACAGTCTCACTGTGTCACCCATGCTGGAATGCAGTGGCTCAATAATGGCTCACTATAGTCTTCACCTCTTGGGCTTAGGTGATCCTCCCACCTCAGCCTCCCCATTAGCTGGGACTACTCGCACACCACCATACCCAGCTAATTTTTTTTTTTTTTTTTTTTTGTATTTTTTGTAGAGACGGGGTTTCGCCATGTTGCCCAGACTGGTCTCAAACTCCTGGGCTGAAACAGTCCATCTACCCTGGCCTCTTAAAGTGCTGTGATTACAGGCATGAGCCATGGTGCCCAGCTGGTAATATAATTTTTGTTGACTCCTAAAAGATCTGTTTTAGTTATTTAGGGAATATTATGAATATTCAAGAGAGATAGCATTGAGTTCTTTTCTAAGAATACATTCTCTCATTGCCCTTCTTTTCTTCTCCTTTGACATTACCCAAAAAAAAGTTCAAAAATTTTCCGCTGGGATGGTGAAATATCTTTTATTATTCTTTTGTCATGCTTAACTACATCCGTCTAGAGGAAACCAGTTACCAGCTTCCAGATTTTCTGTTAGTATAATCCCAGAGGTTGTGCTGAATCCTCCAACTAATGAGTTGCAAAAATCATGTGAAATTTTATCTACTAGGGCCTCTCATCAGAGACCAGTGCCTATAGTGTTTTTTGGTGTCTGGCTTAGTCTGTTTTTTGTTGCTTAAGAATATCTGAGGCCAGGCGTGGTGGCTGACGCCTGTAATCCAAGCACTTTGGAGGCCAAGGCGGGCAGATCACCTGAGGTCAGGAGTTCAAGACCAGCCTGACCAACA